TTCTTTTATATCGTTATAAAAACAGTTGTTAATTTTACGTTACGAAATAAAGTAGTCCACGTACATCAAGGACGTACGGATACATATATCTCTATCGAACCACACATAGAGAGAAGAGAGAACGTTAACACCTATGGTTACTTTATCGCTACATATTCTTATTATTGTAGCAAGATTTATGTAAAAGTCAGACTAATATGTGGCATGACCTTTTAGTCCACGTTGTGCAAATTTCTGTTAAAAACAAATATTGATGTATGAGAAACAACTGCAGAAAGTATTTCGTTTTGTTATTGTTTAATATAGGACAAAAAATGTAGAAACCAATCGAAATCAATATTGTTCGCAGAGATAATGACTATAATAAGTGTCTGAGTGTAGAATGAGAATAGTTGTTGGACGCACTGAGAAGAAAAAAGATTTACTAAATTGGTGTGCAATGCATCTGTCCAATAGTTTGCTTGATCACTTCTAACCTTGCAGCAGTTAATGTCCAATATCTTGAATCTCAACGTAAATAAAATAATACAAACACTATAAAGATAGATTAAAAGTTGTAATTCACTCGATTCATGTATAATGCTTTAGCTCAATGCTCAGCACTTTTTTTGAGTGTAGCTCTAGCTGTGGCTCAAACTTATCAGAAAAGACACTCATACCCACGTCCCATCCAGACCCAGATCCGCATCCACGCCAACACCCTAGAGCTTTCTAGAGGTATATTCAATATTTCTTTCATTTTTATTTAAAGGCTAAAAAAAATAATATTTTGTATTTACAATTATTGTATGATCGTCTCTCAATCACTTCTTTTCACTAGTTTGACCCAAACTTCTTCTGGTGCAATGACTGCCCGTTCACGGATGTTGAATTTGCTTTCAAGATGTTCACCAGGCAAAATCGAATACTGTTGAAGCAGTCTCACTAGTAGTATCTTCATCTCAATTAATGCAAAGCGCATGCCAATACACTGCCGTGGCCCAGCTCCAAATGGTAGATAAGCCATCGGATGACGTTTTGTTTCATGACGTTCGGGAAAGAAAACGTACGGATCTTCAGGACCCCAAAGTTCACGATCATAATGAATAGAATAGATATCAGCATGCACTAAGGTGCCTGAAAAAGATAAAAGACAGGTAATTTTAGAAGCTATTTTCTGATAAAAAATGTTATCAAATTGATGGAAAAGAACCAGCGTAGCTGATTTTCTTAGTTTAGCTTCCTCTTACACAGATTTGCTCCTAATTTTATATATAACCGTCACAGATCAAGAAATATTTTTAGAACATATGTAAGAATTTCAAAAGGAAAACTTTGCAGATCATAATATGATTCTTGAGGATGCTCTGATGATGTAGAAAAAGATCGAAGCGTTTCATATCATAAGAATATATCATTACCTTTTTCAACCTTAATTCCTTGTACGATCGTATCTTCAGAGGCACATCGTTGAATGGCCATGTTTCCAATGGGATACATTCTTAAGACTTCGGAAACAAACATATCCATATAAGGCATCTGCGCAACTACGTCATAATCAGGACATTCTTTTATTTTCTCGTCGGATCTATCATCATTGTCCAGTGGAAGTTGATCGATTTCAGCCTGAAGTTTCTGAAGAACTTCTGGATGTCTAGCAAGTTCATATGTTGCATAGGCTAAAGCAGTTGATGTTGTTTCATATCCTGCCGCCATGAAGACAAGGATGTTGTTGATAATTTCTTCTCGAGTTAGCCGATAGTTTGCTTTGCTGCTATCCTGTATTTCATCCTAGAAGAGAGATTTATTTATAATGGACTTATAACTATCTTCAATCTCTCTAGCGAAATCGAAAATTTTTTTTATTTTTCTATATTTATTTTTCTAAGAGGTCGTAATACCAGTTTTATTATGGTTTCTTCTGTCATTCTAAAGTTTTAACAATGATAGAAACATTCCCGTACATCTCATTGTAATCAATTTTATATGCCAAATCCCAATAAAATATTTTCAGTACTGAGTATCATAACAACCGTGTAGTATTTCAATCGTTTTTAGAATAACTATTCTTTGTCTTTTAGAGCAATCTATACTATAAAGATTTTCTATCCAAAATTTCATTTACAAAAGTACAAAGTAATTATTCGTCAAAAATGTCGTGAACCGATTCAATCATACAAGATCTGAGGATGCCTATATTTTTTGTACTCATTTGAACTAGTAGTACTTTACTAAGAATTATTAAGGCTATTAAAAGGTCCAAAGGAAAGCAGTATGTAAGAAAATACTTTTTAAAATTTGATAGATTCTACTTACATTAATTGGCTCGTCAGTCATTACTTGTAACATTAGTTGCAGAAGATCGACACGTGATGTAGGTTTCTGCTGTCGCTGCTCGATAATTGGGTGTAGTCGATTAAGGAGCCACATACCTGGTAATTCAGGCAACTGTTTCTCTGATATCAAGGATAGAAGATGCGTATTGATGAAGGCTCGTGTGGTGTTGATGCCAAAAAAGATTGTACCAATGATATTTTCTATCTCAGGCACAAGTTGAGCAAATCTGAAAAATCTACTTGACCTAATGTTACGAGTAAAGATCTCCTCCACTTTCTTGAAATATATATTATTTGGATTGTTTTGTAAATCAGTGTCGATTCCAAATGCACATCGACCTAAACGAATAACAGAAATAATAGCAATCAAAACATCTTTTTAGCTTAGAGCATTTTTCGTTTTTTTCTGTGTTGAAAACATGCGTGGATATACTTAAGAGCATTTTTGGCGTGTTTATGATATAATTTCATGTAAGAAACAGTAGTGAATTCAATATCTACTTATACTATAAGCGAATGACAATGGACGTTATATGTAAGTATAATACCCTCGCGTATTAGTTTCTTCCAAGACAAAGATAGACGATGGTTGAGATTCCATTGCAGTCTATGAATTTCGGATTTCTTTTTCTGTCATGAAATTATATCATAAACACGCCAAAAATGCTCTTAAGTATATCCACGCATGT